TCACAGGAGGCAGCTCTACCCTGTCCTGTAGGGTCACTATGAGTCAGCATGCACTCAGTGGCAGTGAGCTTGGTTTTCGTTGGCATAGTGGCGAGAATGAGCATACGATAATTATGCACAGCAACACAGATGAAGCTCACAACATGAGTGCAAGAAGCTGGCTATAGAGGAGAATGGTTCCATTTATATCAAATTATCAAAGAGCCAAAACTAGTCTATGGGATTAGAGGTCGGGATAGTGACTACCCCCTTGGAAAGCGGCATGAAAGTGCTTTGGGAATACTCACAATATTGTTTTTGACCTGAGGGCAGTTTACACAAGTGGCTTCAGTTTGGAAAACTTTTTTGAATGATAGACTTGGTGTGATGTGCATTTTGCTCTACGTGTGTCATATTGTGCATCTTCAGTATATCTGTTAATGCTTCAATGCAGGGAAACAATGTGTATTGGGTAAGGCAAGCCTGAGTCAGTACTCCAAATCATGCCACTCGCAAGCCCTTAACTGCTCTTCTCACCACTGGCTACTGCCACGAGCTCTGCTGGACTTCCACCCGAGGGAGCTTGTTCTATTCTTGACCTTTTGGCTTCTTTGAGTCACTGCTATCCTATTCAAAGTGGAGAGGTAGGGTGATGCCTTTGTTAGGTGGAGCCTAGTCTAGTTGCCAGGGAAAGTGGGAAAGCAAGTACCTAACATTTTCAGGTTGTTTTGTGAGTGGGGAGAGGAGCCTGGTGATGGAATGGTTACGCCTTGGGCTGCTAACCTCGAGGTCAGTCATTTGAAGCCACCAGCTACCCCAAGGGAGAAAGATGAGGCTTTCTATTCCCCTAAAGAGTTAGTCCCATAAAGAGTGGGTTCATAGGGGCAATTTGAACCTGCCCTACAGAGTCACTATGAGTCAGAATTGCGTTGATGGCAGTGAGTTTGTTTTTTTGGTTTTGAGTGAATGGTGTCATCTGTCAAAATTTCTCCTAATACAGGGGGGGTGGGGGTGGGGTCAGATTTGGGGCAGCCCCAAAAGGAGGGAAGTCTTTCCTAAGGGGAACGTTTAGGTCAGTAGAAGACAGACTTATAGGGTTGGAACCAGCAGAAAGCCGAGGGGGTATAACTCTACCAAGTATGGCAGATGGGTTCCCAGGAAACCAGATTAACCAGATTAAAGGGGTGTGTGTTCTGGAGGAATGGTGTGAAAGAAGTCGAAGGAATGGGGTGGGGAAAGGTTAAGGTTTACTTTGAAAGTCAGGCAGAGGAATTTCAATTTAACATGGGAGTCTTGGAGCCAGTTTATTTAACAATAGCATGCCCTGAGAGGAATTTGTATTCATGAACCTGCCAGCACTTGTAGGGACAGCTAGGAGACATCTATGTAATTTAAGGGTGGAGTGATGGATTGGAGGTAGAAATAAAAGGGAGAGGGGCAGAAAAAAAATAATCCGTAGAACTTCATGAAGCGAATAAAGTGAAAGATGCTACCAAAACTTGTGCCTGAGTGTATGAGGTACTGCTTTTCCTTGCGAACCAGAGCCACTGAGAAGGGAACAGGTGTGGAGGAGGTAAAGTGAGTTTTCGTTCTGGATTAATCACTTTGAGGTGACAGGCATCTGAAGAAAAGTGGCATCTGAGTATGGTAGTTGGAGACTGGGAAACGACATGACGTGAAAGAAAGGCTGTGAAGGGAATGAAACAGAGTGCCCCAGAATCTTTGTGTATTTCATCGGAGCTTTGGTAGCTTGGTAGTTTATGCATTGAGTTGCTAACCGCAAGGTCAGCAGTTCAAAACCACCAGCTACTCCTCGGCAGAACAATGAGGCCTTCTACTCCCGTGAAGAGTTAAGGGTACCCTGTCCTCCAGGGTCACCCCGAGTCCTAGACGACTTTGTGGCAGTGAGGCGGGTTTTGCATGTTGGAGTCAGGAGGAAGGAGTCCTGGTGGTGCTGGAGGGGGGCGGTGAATGTCAGGCTGTTCACTGTAAGGTTGGTGATGCAAACCCACCAGCTTCTCTGCTGGAGAAAGGAGACTGCTCTCAAGATTCCCAGCCCCAGAAACCTTACACAGGGTCACTGTGAGACGGAATGGATTCATAGCAGGGCGGCTGGGTTATGTTGTATTGTGTTTCATTTTCAGTACGACTACATTTGAATTGTGACCTGGGCTTTCTGCTTCACAAAATTTCAGTTCTCTGACCTCAGGTGGTGGTGGTGGGTATGTGCCCTAAAGTTGTTTCCAATGTATAGCCACTCTGTACAACAGAGCTCAGGACACATTGATTAATAAAACAAACAAACAAAAAGCCCAAACCAAGATGCCTTTCTTCCAAGGTACCTCTGAGAGGACTTGAACCTCCAACCTTCTAAGCTGTATCTTTTGCATCACCCAAGGCTTCCCCACATTGTTGTCACTTTGATGCTATTGCCTTTTTTTTAAACTAACAAACAAAACAGTTTTCTTCCCATTATTCTATTATCTTTGGAAAAAATATGATTTGTACCCATGAGGCTATTCTTGGTTACTTTTACAGTAAAGCCTACAAAAGCCAGAAATTGACTTGATTAGCGGGAGGGTTGAGTTGTGTTGTGTTTTAAAGAAAACTTGGAAGACCCATTACAACCAGGCAGGCCCTTTGAGATCCCTCAGCTGTAATGGTTTTTTGAATAGAACGAGAAGACTATGCCAACACCAGGGACCTTAGCCAGGATCGCAAGCTGCCAGCTTATAATAAGCAGACTTCTTCCAGTTGATGGGAAAAATTATAAACTGGAATTCTCAGCATGATAGGGTGGCCTTACTGTTCTGTGTGAAGAGTGCTCGTGTACAACCTCTGTTAGGCTTCAACCTCTGTTAGGCTTCACATTAGGTCTTTTGGAGTCTTAGCCAATATATTTAGTCACTGTCAGTAACTACAAGCTCAGAACGGTATTTGCACTTGGTAAAGGCAGCCAGGTCTCCCCAGAGCATGGCGACAGGCCTTTGTGTGCAACTTGAAAGCTGTTGCCGAGGCACGCCGTCTTGGCATTTCTCTCAGGGCTTTATTCTCTTTGGTGTACAGCATGCCCTACCTGTAGGTGACACGGGACCGGTCAGACATCACGAAAGTGTGTGCAGCTCTCTTAACCAGAAACAATTGAGCCCTTAGGTCATGTGTGAGACAGTGAGACAACCCTGAAATTGCTGCTATTATTTATGGTGCTGGTATGTGGCCAGCATGTTTTCCCCATCTGAATTAGTATTTTGAGTCCTTGGACTCTTCGGTTAACTAGGTAATGTTTCTATGTTTATGCCAATGTGGAAGATGAGAGCCAAGTTCACTGAAAAGTTCCAGTGCTGTTCTGGCCCCGTACGATATCTCTCTCTATAACTTCGGTTATAACTTTGAGTCCCTGTCAAAAGGTTCATCAGCCCTTAGAATCAATTGGATTTTAATGTGGGTTTGAGGAAAAATGATAAATTTTGCATTTATAAAAATGAACCCTTTGCTTATGGCTCTAACAACCCTTTGGAATGGCTGCTGCTTTGGTCACGTGGTGGAGAGACTTTGAAATGGCTAGCCCATTTCTGATCACATCAGAATAAAATACTTGGTGTGCCCTGTAGTTTGTGACACGATTTATCACTACAAGACGGTAGGACACCATATCTCATTATTATTACTATCGCAGGGAATGTTCCACTAGCTGGTTATAAAAAATCACACCCAACCACACTCACTTCCATCTAGTCAATTCTGACTCATAGCAGCCCTATGGATAGAGTAGGACAGCCCTTGCGGGTTCCCAGACTGGAAATCTTTACAAGAGCAGAAAACCTCATCTTTCTCTTGCAGAGCAACTAAAGGTAGCTTTGAATTACTGATCTTATGTTGGGCGAAGGGGGATCCCCAACAAATCATCACAGGTCCGGTAGGCACAAGTTTACAGCGATAATAAGTAGATTATAGTAAAGTCATAGAGAGCATGAGAGGTAGAGGAGAGAGTCAGATAATGGAGTCAGACACATTTCATGGTACCATGCTCACATCCACCCCGCTTGGTGGTCCTCGTGGGGAGAGCCCAGCCACGAGAGCAGGAGAGAACCCCTACTTTATTGCTAACCAAGGGTTATATCTCACTAGGGGGACATGATTACAGGTAACCACACGTCACAGGAAGGGGCATTACAATAGGCATACACATCGTAGGAAGGGGATGAATGATAGGCTTAAGTGTGACAGGAAGGGGATGAGCTAGGGGTGTGCCCATCGGAATGGGAAGGTCTAGGGGTATACATGTGACAAGATGGGGGGACCCTAGATTCATGATGGCAGCCTAACCTTGGTCATCCTTGGGCAGGTTTGACCTCTCTGGTGTCTCCTACAAGGAAACAGACAACTACTATCCTTATCAGAAGGGCCCTACTTGTTGTGGGATAAACAGTGGTGACTGCTTGCTCTAGATGGCTGATAGCTCTTAGGGAGAATAACCCTGATCTACTTCTGACGACCTCCAAGTGCATAGTCATTCACAAGCAGCTAAGTTTGGCATATATTCGGGGGAGACAACTTGGGAGAAATCCTTCTGTTTACCACAATCTTATGGTTAGCAGCCTAACACACAACCCACTATGCCCCCAGAGCTTCTGGTTTGAGAGAAATGGGAGTTAAACAGATCAACCTGCTAACCGTTCTCGTATTTCATTTTCTCCAACAAAAGTCCACTTGCCTGAAGTAAAATGAGCAAGGCACAAATGAATGTGGAAGTGAGGCAAATGTTACATGTCCCTAGCCAGTGCCATTGTCTAAGCTGCCTAGGACTAGTTACTGCGCTTTTGGGGAAAAGAGAATATGCTAACTTTCTCAAAGTATAAAGAAAAATTGTCACTGAGATAACATATTAAAAAGATTTTGCTTCATTTTTACAGCTGGTTGAATTTTGGTAGTGGATAGAACTTGTTTTTTATATGCATGTATACATTTACCTATTTTTCTAAAACCATTTTTTAAATCTTACTTTTCAAAAATAAATCCAGGAGCTGTGCGGTCTTATGCCTTGGAACTGAACTTGAGAGATTCAGAAAATGCTACTTGCCTTTATGCAAAATGGCAGATGAATTTCCAAATACAGTATGAAACAACAAGCAAGAATTATGTAAGTAAACACTTTGGGATTTAGAGTAGAAATTTAAATCTGAATCTTCGCAGATCTTTTAAACACATACAAATCAGATTTTATGTTGACTCTCTTAACACTCTTTTTTTAGCATGTCCACCTGAAGATATTGTTTAGTGCCAAAATGAATACAGTAATTCATGGGTTCTGTGGGTTTTTCATGCAATTGGTTACATCCAAGTGTTCCAAAGAGTGTGGTGTCAAAGTCTTAACTACTGTGATGTCTTTAAAACATATTGACCCCAAAGCTTGCCCCTTTTAATTGCGTGCTATTAAAATCTCCTTTATTTTATTTTCATCTTAGTCCTTTTTTCATTTATAACAACTTTTTTCCCTTACTTTTAATGGGGGCTCTTACATCTCTTATCACAATCCATACATTCATCCAGTGTGTCAAGCACATTTGCACATATGCCACCGTCATCATTTTCAAAGCATTCTCTTCCTACTTGAGCCCCTGATATCAGCTCCCCATTTCTTCTCCCTCCCTCCCCCACCTGCCCTACCTCACGAATCCTTGATAAGTTATAGATTATTATTTCCATATCTTACATCGTCCTTGGTCACCCCTCACCCATTTTTCTGTTATCTGGCCCCCTGGGAGGGGGTTCTAGGTTGATCCTTGTGATTGATTCCCCCTTTCTTCCCCGACCCTCCCCTAATCCTCTAGATATCTGATTGCTGGCCCTGAGGGGCTTATCTATCCTGGATTCCCTGTGTTGCAGGCCCTTATCTGTAGCAGTGAGCATGCTCTGGAGTAATCCGATTTGTAAGGTAGAATTGGGGTCATGATAGTGGGGGGAAGGAAGCACCAAAGAACTAGAGGAAAGTTATATGTTTCATTGGTGCTAGACTGCACCCTGACTGGCTCATCTCTTCCCTGTGACCCTCTATGAGGGGATGTCCAATTGTCTACAGATAGGCACTGGGTCTCCACTCCTTGCCCCTCCTCCCCCCATTCACATTGGATTTGATTTTGTTCTGGGTCTTAGATGCCTGATACCTGATCCCATGGACACCTCAGTGGGAGGTGGGAGAAAGGAAAGGTGGGGAGGGAAATCAACCCAGGGACAAGGGAACGACAAGTGAACTAAAATCAATGGAAAGAAGGTTGTAGGATGCCTAGTGGGGCTTAATCAAGGGCAATGTAGCAGCGAGGAATTACTAAACCTGAATGAAAGCCGAACATGATAGTGGGACAAGAGGAAAGTAAAAGGAAATATAGGAAAGAACTAGGAGGCAAAGGACATTTATAGAGGTCTAAATATAGGCATGTACATATGTAAACATACATAGCAACAGGAGAATAGAACTATGTACCCATATCTATATGTTAAGAATTAAGGTAGCAGATGGACATTGGGCCTTCACTCAAGTACTCCCTCAACACAAGAACACTTTGTTCTAACAATCCACATTCTGTGATGGCCACCTTTCTGACACGATCGCTGAAGACAAAATGGGTGCATAAGCAAATGTGAAGAAAGCTGATGGTGCCCAGCTATCAAAAGATATAGTGTCAAAAAAAAAAAGATATAGTGTCTGGGGTCTTAAAGGCTTGAAGGTAAACAAGCGGCTATCTAGCTTGGAAGCAACAAAGCCCACATGGAAGAAGCACACCAGTATGTGTGATCATGAGGTGTCGATGGGATCAAGTATCAGGCATCTAAGACCTTTCAGTCCTTTTTAAAAAGATTTTCTTTGTTGTTGAGATATACACAGGAAAACAGATACCAGTTCCACAGTTCCTACATGTGTATTCCAGTGGCATTGATCACATTGAGTTGTACAAGCCGATTTTCTGAATTGTTCCTCGGCCATTAACATCAACTCCCTGCGCCATAAGGTTCCTATCTAATCTTTCCAGTTGCTGTTGTTAATTTGATCCCATACAGATTGATCATAAAAGAGCTTCATTCTCAAGGCAGACCTTTGTACTAGTTAAATATTTTAGTTTAAGGTTTAAAGATTACATCAGGATTCCTCAGTCCTTTGCCTTCTTTTCTTTTAATTAAAAGACAATTGTTAATTTGCCCTACCAACTAACCACCTAATTAAAAAAAAATCTTAAGAATAGGCCAATTTCCCATTTCCCTTGGTATCACCCAGCCTGCCCAACCCATTACCATTAAGTTGTTTCTGACACACAGTGACCCTCCGTAGCCTTTCTGAGGCTGTAAAATCTTACAGGAGCAGACAGCCTCCTCTTTCTCCCACTTTGGAACATCTCATCTTTAGGTTCGTAGTCCAATGCTTACCCAATATGACTCCTTGATGCTATTTGTTTTTGAAAAACCAAACAAACCCAACAAGTAATTGCCATTGAGTCAATACAGACTCATAGGAGCCCTATAGGACAGAGTAGACTGCCCCTGTGGGTTTCTGAGACTGTAGTTTGTTACGAGAACAGAAAGCCTCATTTGTCTCTCACTGAGTGGCTGGTGGTTTCCTACTACTGACCTTGTGGTTAGTAGTACAAACGGTAACCCCCACAACACCACCAGGGCTCCTTGTTGTCATTTTGGCATACACCCATCTGAGACTGGTTTTTTCAGCTAAGCAAGCAAAGTGCAACCTGGCCATGGGGCACGTGTGATGGATTCTAATGCTTGGTACTCATTACTGTCTTTTTGTTCCCTGCCTCCAAACTTCTCATTCTTCTTAGAAAAATGTAACCGTTTCAGACCGTGGCATTGCAACATATAAAGGAAGCACTTGCGGTGATGGCAAGAATGGTCCCAGAATAGCGGTTCAGTTTGACTCTGGCTTTTCCTGGACCGTGAATTTTACGAAGGCGATGACTACTTATTCAATCGATAGCATCTCATTTTCCTACAACACTAGTAATACCGCAGTGTTCCCTGAAGCGAAAGATAAAGGTAATCTTGAGAGTTTGCTTCATTGTACAGTCTTTTGTTTTTTCTGAATAATACAAGCATGTATATTTAAACATCAATGTGATAAGGTCTATCTTCTTAATGAGATTCAAAACTTAGAGGTTACCCCCCACCCAACCTATGCTCACCACAGTGCAATCTGCAGTGACTGCTTTTCCTCTGTACCACTCGTCAGTCATCCTCGCTGTATTCCCTGCCCTTCATCTTTAATGGCAATCCTGGAAAGCAGATTTTATCTCACTTTTACAGGTAAAGGGGGACTGTGGCTTGATGAGATTCAATTACTTTCTCAGAGGTCACACAATCTACTAAGTGGGCGAATTGGCATTTGAACTAAAGTCTGTTCAGCTCACGGCGTTCACACACTGGGCCGTTACTATTTATTTCATTTACTTAGTGGGCACTCAAGAAATGTTCAATGAATCATAAAATTCTTCAGTAATTGCTTTTAAAATGTGTACAGGACCCAGGGATAAGCAGAAATGCTTAATCTTCAAGTCTTTTTTTTTAAAGCTAGGATTTGAATGGAAAAGGAAGTGATGGCCATTAAAGTTGAAATGACAGAAGTCAATGTTGACTGCTAATTCTGAGACCATTTCAGGTCGAAATGAACTTCTGAAGCCATTAACAGTTAGGCCATTTTTGTCATCCCAGAATTGAAATGGGTATTAGGACATTTCAAAGGCACACATCATGCGTGGACATTTCATTTTTGCTAAAACCCCAAACACTGAACGCTCTGCTGGAGAGTCCATTTAGACTTGTGGTGGAGTGGGTTACTTGTTAGGCTATTAACGACAAGGTCAGTAAATGGAACCCGCCAGCCACTCCAGGGAGAAAGAAGCTCTAATCCTGTAAAGAGTTATAGTCTCAGAAACTCGGGGGTCACCAAGAGTTATTTTTTTCGGGATATAATTTTTTCATTCTTCCCTCATTAAGATTGCGTTAACCTGGTACCTCTTCTCTTAGACCCCAGGGTCCTTCAAAAAGTGTGTGGGGAAAATTCCATTGTTTTTAAAACTCCATTTTCCCACAAAATTTACCAAGTCCCCTCCCTAGCATTTCACTTTGGCCCCAGGGTCACAGGTGGATGGGTTTCAGCTACTCCCACTTCCAGGTGAGTGGCTCCGTTGGCTATTGAAGGGTTGCATTCTAGTGTACCCAGAAGTGTGGCAGCTCATGTAAAGCTTGGGAAGTGTCCAAGACTGAGGCTTGAAAGCAATCCTCCTTTTGCTTCATATTGATTACTTAATTTGAGCGGATAAGTAAGACGAATTGGCTGTCTGAGAGAGGAATTTAGCTTTGGGCCCTGCAATGTCATGCAGAAGTAGCATCAGATTCACCCTTTCACTCTCTAAGAGCTTCCAGGGGTCCTCAAACTGTGGCCCGTGGGCCACATGTGGCCTGCCGAGGACATTTATCCTGCCCGCCGAGTGTTTTTGCCCCATTTTGTTTTTTACTTAAAAATAAGATATGTGCAGTATGCATAGGAATTTGTTCGTTGTTTTAAACTATAGTCCGGCCCTCCAACGGGTTTGAGGGACAGTGAACTGGCCCCGTGTTTAAAAAGTTTGAGGACCCCTGTAAAAAGACTAATTGGAGAGACAGAGCTAAATTGTTTCCCTAAGTTAAATGGGAAAAGGCGGAGGCCTGTGTGATTTTGCTGGTGGTTTTTATTTGGGAGTAGAGACTCTAAATCTTTCCCAACAATCTGAATAAAGCTATTGGCCCCTTCGGCGGGAGCGGGGATGGGGACGTGCATAGTAAACTTTCTCAGTGGCTATACAGTCCCCTGAGCCCTTTGTTTGGTGTGAAAGTGTCTGAGCAAGCAGGTTCTGATTAGGAGTTAGGAACCTAAAAGGAGAGGCTCATGTACCTTGGCGGAGGGAGAAAATTTGGTAGGTAGGAGAAGTGAGTCTCGAGCTGAAACTCGAGCTAATGGTAGAATTTGAGAGAGACTGTGGATTACGTAGGAGAAGGAAAAAGAAGTTCCCTGGTTGCAGGGGCTTAGATTATAGAGGGCCTGGAAAGCCAAGGACAGGCATTTCATTTGACGGGGTAGATACTGGGGAGCCATTTTAGAGTCTTAAGTCAGAAAATGATATAACAAAAGCAGAGGCCGTTGTTCCTAAAGAGCCTTCTGCAGGAGTAATTTGGGAGCGTGGAGTGTGCAGCCAGGGATGCTAGTTTAAGAGCCTGTTAGAGTTAATTAAGGGATTACTTGTGCCTGGACAAGGAGGGTCGCTATTAAAATGAAGGAGGGGCTTAACCTGTCACAGGTTGATGGAGGAAACTCAGGACTCAAAAATTGTTAACACTTCTCCGTACCCCCCTTTTATCTTAAGCAAGGGGAAGAGAGGATATTGTATTCCTAGCTGCTGTGCAATAACATTTTAAACTTTTGGGGCATATGAAATGGGTTCTTAAGTGAATGGTGGAGAATTAAAAAAAATAAACCTTACTTTGAAGCTACTGTGTTCTTTTGCTTACATTTTTTATGAATAAAATATAGAAAAGTACAAGGACTAATATAGTCGACCCCCACGTGCCCATCCACTGCCCAGAATTAGTAAATGTCATTTTGAGAATATTCGGTTCATCATTTTCGTCCGCTGAATAGATAGCTTTGAGGGTTCCTGCTCACTCCCAGGGTCCCCTTTGCTCCTCCTCTCCTGCAATGCAATCACGCTCATGAAGGTGAAGTGTGTGCTTCCTGTCCGTGGCTTTATATTGTATTACATAAGTACATAAGTACATTATATTCATTACATAAGTGTAATGAAAAGAAAATTTTTATTGTTTCATAGTGTAACTCTATTATGTCTACAAAATATTTTTTGCCCATTTGTTTTTGAGCCCTATACGGAAATTGTTCATATTCATTTACTTCTGTTCACTGTCAAAAATAGCTTTAGAGTAAACGTTCTAGTTGATTCATTTTTTAAACTGCCCCCTTAGTTTTGTGGTGGTGGTGGGGAGGTTGCGGACAGGGCCAAGGCCACATTAATTGGCTACCTTGCTAGTAAGTCCATCACTGTTTCCCAAAGTGAGCTTTACTTCCCCCTAGGGGGTGCTGGAATGGTCCACGGGCACTGCAAAAGCAGATACTTAAACTTTATCGTGGGTTATGGGCTATGGTACACAAGTTTTTAGGGTTGGGTGGGGGGCGGGGGATGGGGAAGGCATGCTAAGTAATTTTTTTTCTGAAAAGGGGGAAGAAGGCCAAATAAGTTTGGGAACCTACAAAGTATAGGAAGCAGCCTAGATTTCAAAAAAATTCAAATTCACTGCCATTGAGTCGATGCCGACTTGTAGCAACCCTATAGACAGGATAGAAGTGGCCCTATGAGTTTCCAAGACTAACTCTTTATGGGAGTAGAAAGCCTGGTGCTTCTCCCAAGGAGTGCCCTGGTGGTTTCAGTGACTGAGCTTGCAGATCACAACCCAATTCGGAACCACTGTGCCGCCAGGGCTCCTTGCAGCCTGGAATAAGGGCTTTGAAGACTGGCCTTCCTCACTACTTCTCCCCCCAAAAAGACTTAAGTCCTTTGTGTGACTAAGTGCCCTCATGGTAACTTGAAGTCCACGTGGGTGGGATGATCCCAGGTTTCACGGTTGGCATTCTAATGAAAAGTTGGATTCTGTACAGAATAGCTCTAACTGAATAGATTTTGTATTCTAAAGGTTTCCTGAAATAGAATAGACTTTAAATTACCTCAAGGAAGAGACTCTAGGACAGTGGTTCTCAACCTGCGGTCACGCCCCCTTTAGGGGGGTTGAACGACCCTTTCACAGGGGTCACTTGATTCATGACAGTAGCAAAATGACAGTTATGAAGTAGCAACAAAAGTGATTTTATGGTTGGAGGTCACCACAACATGAGGAACTGTATGAAAGGGTTACGGTGTTAGGAAGGTTGAGAATCACTGCTCTAGGAGCTCATGATGGGTGTTTTAACTAATTTAAGGAAATTACCAGAAAAACAAGGATTTGCTATAAAACCATTGATTATTCCCTCTGCGTTCTTCCTAGTTTTTAATCACCAAGTCCTGTTGCTTCTACTTTAGACACATGTCTTCCATTTGGCTCCTTTTTTAAAAATCGTTTTATTAGGGCCTCATGCAACTCTTAACACAATCCACACATACATCAATTGTGCAAAGCACATTTGTACATTCATTGCCCTCATCATTCTCAAAACATTTGCTCTCCACTTAAGCCCCTGGCATCAGGTCCTCATTTTTTCCCCTCCCTCCCCGCTCTCCCCTCCCTCATGAACCCCCGGTAATCTATAAATTATTATTTTGTCATATCTTGCCCTGTCCGACGTCTCCCTTCACCCACCTTTCTGTTGTCCGTCCCCCAGGGAGGAGGTCACATATAGATTCTTGTAATCGGTTCCCTCTTTCCTACCCACTCTCCCTCCACCCTCCCAGTATCGCCACTCACACCACTGGCCCTGAAGGGAACATCCGCCCTGGATTCCCTGTGTTTCCAGTTCCTATCTGTACAAGTGTACATCCTTTGGTCTGCTCCCTGCAGCCTCCCATCCATTTGGCTTAGGGAATCCCTCCCATTTCGCCGGCATCAGGCCATCAGCCTTCTAACTGGTTTTCCTCTTAAATGGCTTACTTTTAAAAGTTTTATCCCTAGGCCTATCCCCTACCAGTTTATGATCAGCCTTACAGGAAAACGTGTGTTTGTTGTTTCCTGCTTTAAACAACCGAAGCTAGACCTCCACAGCTAACAAAATAAAGCCTGAACTCTCCTTAGGTCATAGAATGTCCTGCCAAGTGTGATTACTCAGCTGCAACTAATCTTCCCTTTTCATCCCTCTTAACTTTCTGCACCAAACTCCCTACTCCCAGTGCTTAGGCTGCAGTGAATCCGGCCTTCCCTAAACAAGCCACACCTTTTGTCATTTTGAGGATGGGGTGGAGCAGGCAGAGGGGAGGAGAAGGAAACCTCATCAATGTATTTATATTGGCATGCTTCCTCTACTTGCTTGGAAACAACTCTTGTCGATCTTGTTTTATAGGAGTTATCACTGTGTATGACACCGTGAAAATTGGAATTCCATTGAATAACATCTTTAGATGCAGTAGTTTGTCAACTTTAGAAAGCAATGATGTTGTTCATCAGTATTGGGGCATTCTTGTGCAAGCTTTTGTCCAAAATGGCACCGTAAGCACGAAAGGTGAGTACTGTAAGAGTGCATTTCTATACTGGAAGCCGAATTACAGATTAGAGTATACAGCTCTTCCTGCAGGATTGCCCACACTATGAAACCACTGGCAAAGAAGATCTTTAAAGGAGTTTGAGTAGCTGAACTTGCAGGTGTTTTTGGAGTTTATTTTTTGTTGAATAATGAACACAAGCCAAGATTTCAGACAAACAATGAACAGGAAATTTCCCTTCATTTTGGAAGTTTATTACAATCCATTGAGCAATATGGAGTGTATGGAATCAGAGAGAAAGATCAAGAAAAATGGCTAAATAGTAAAAGTTAGCAATTTGGCCACTGATCAAGATTTACCTGTAAAAGAAACATCATGGTATCAGCCAAGAGTGAAATCCTAAAGCTTTTATGGATGGGTCTGGGCATATTTAAAGCAAATTCCAACTACAATGAGAGGTGCTATTCTTTGAATTAACTTTTTGAAGGTTTATTGTTATAAATGAAGTTTTGGCTATATTAAAATTAAAATAGTGTTTTGCAAACATAAAAAAAGAGTGTACCGTAAAGCTTTCGTTGGAAGTCATTATCTGAAAGCATTTCTACATTAAAACCTATTTGTAGCTTGCAGGTTATGAAGTCTTTGTTGTTATCGTGGACTAGAATGTTTAAGTGTAATATTTGAACAGATCCTCTGGTAGCTTGTTCATCAGGTCCTCAGCAGGTACAAAGCCAAAGTCGATAAATTAGATTTCTGTGTTCTGATCTTTAGTTTCAAAAATTATTCTGTGACTTTATGCAGTCTCAAGGTGGTGTTAGAAGTTAGGGGCTCAGTTTCTAACGAAAGGTTGGCAGTTCGGATCCACCTTGGAAGAAAGGCGTGGCGTTTTGCTTCCACAAGACCCCAGCCTATGAAAACTCTATGAAGCACAGCTCTCCTTTGACACACGTACAGGATCACCAGGAGTCGGGATTGACTCAATGGCAACTGGTTTGTTTTGGCTTGGTGTGTGTGACTTTATGGAAATGTGGTCATTTCTCATTGACCAGTTCTGGAAAACGACCAGCACCTCATAAGAGGTTGAAATAGCTGTGATTTCCTCAGTGGGTAATAAGAACAGAAGGTTCGTTTGTAGGTATAGCTTTCTGTGATTTCCAAACTTTCTTTCTGGTAGTAAATCATGATTGTACCGAGGGTGGGGGGAACTGTTGTCAAAGTTAAATCCCGGAATTTCATGTCAGAAGCAGGTGAAGTTCTTTTTGAATAAGGGATTTAAGGGCTTGGAAAAGACAAGTGCGCAGCCCTGTGTGGGTGCATCCACCATTTCTGCGTGTCCTTAGCTCGTCAGCTGTCTCTTGGTTTTGGAATTGGGCTCTTGATGAAGCAGCAGCTTGAACCTTTCTGGCTTATTTTGTCTAAAATATGGAAACAAATTATTCACTTCCCCAAATACAACCCACGTGGACTTTCTAGGATGAGAGATACTTTGTTCTTCCTTGACCCGAGGGTTTAAGAAGAAAGTCCACTTTCCTTGATTTTGTCCTGTGGGGTTGGTTTGTTTTAGAGTTTCTGTGTGAGAAAGACAAAACTGCAACGACGGCCCCCATCATTCACACCACTGCACCTGCTCCTACTGCAACTCCCACTCCAAAGGGAAAGCCGGAGGTGGGAGCCTATTATGTTCGTGAGAATGGGACTTGTCTTCTGGCCAACATGGGGCTGCAGCTGAACATAACTCAGGACAAGGTATTGTTGTCTATTTTCTGTGAAACATTTTGCGTGCGTTTCCTTTAAATATAGGGTGTGCTACTTGCATCCCCAGGGTAGCCATGATGAGAATAACTCCATCTGAAATGAATATTTGATGTGGACTTGTTGAGTTCGATCAGTGTGGAGTTCCTGTAACCGTGAATGGTTATTGTAGCTTTATAAATTGACTCCATGGCAGTGAGTCTGGTTTTTAGGGTTTGAGGTCACAATTTAGTAGAAGAGTAGATTGGCACACAAAATTAAAGTGCAGGCCTCTACTAAAAAGCCATGTGTCTGAGCCAGAAGGCCAATAATTACTTTAAAGCAAAGTTACAAAGATAATGAAACTAAGGACAGGGAAATTAGAGTTCTAAAAACTAAACAACCAGAACACAATTAATGAGAATGTTGACACATTGTGAAAGATTTAAGTGATGTCACTGTTCAATTTGTTGAGCCCAATTTGTTGTATACACGTTCACAGAAAACACAAATAAGATATTATTAAAAATGAGAAAAGAATACAAAGACCAGGCCTTTATTTTAGTCCATTTAAAATCGAACTCCGTCACACTTGTGTCTGAAATGCACACAGTAGACTGACGTATGAGAACAGGGCAGCGCTTTCCTGCTCCGGCTTGGATTGGACAGATGCGCTCAAGTGCACGGTGGTATTCATTTCTAGCTGCAGTGTCCCACTGAGACTACAGAGGGAGTGCCAACAAATAAATTGCACTGCCAGGATGCTGTGACTTAAACAAACTAGACAGATGGCTCTTGTGTTTTCATTTGGCTCCTTCCTGAAGCAGCATTCCTCTTAAAAAAAACTCAAAAAACAAAATCAACCCCAGTCCTCTGAGTCATAGCTTGAGGATCTGTGCCAACTTTTGTTGGAAAGTAAAAGACAAAGGATTTTCTTGGCCTACCCAGTACTTGATAATAGAGTGTAAAGCTTTTGTGGTAATCTGTATGTTTTGCCCTCTTCTTCCCCTGCAGGCTGTTTCTGTTATTAACATCAACCCCAATATGACTGACTTCACTGGCAGCTGCCATCCTCAAACTGCTCTACTTAGGTTGAATAGCAGCAACATCAACTATCTTGACTTTGTCTTTGCTGTGGTGAGTAATCGCTTTTTAATATGTGCTTCATTCCCGTAGAAACACACCTGAAAGTCTAAATAGTTATCGCTGGGGAGTAGGTAGCTTTATTCTATTGCAACACAACGTAATTATAAACATTGATCCATTGATCCCCATTAACCTTGAAGGTCTCACAGAAGCCTAACGGGCTGGACCCTTCTATTAAGACTCATCAAGAGTGGTCATCGTCTATGAGACCAGAACAATTGGATGGTGCCTGGCTACCATTAGTAAATATTCTAATCAAAGATTCTATAGAAGGATCCTGGTAAAGATGGAGTAAGGTCAAGCAGACTTTGAAGTGTTCATGGATTCCAGACTTTGCAGGGCCAATGGTAGATGCCCCTAACTATTGCCCTTAGATAATCTTTAAACCTTAAACTAGAAATAGCTGCTGAAGTCATTTGAGAACCAAACAATAGTTTAGTTTAACTAGTAAGAGACTGCTTCTAAACCAGTGCCACAACCCTTTCACATAGTTCCTCATGTTGTGGTAAACCCCCAACCATACAATTCATAACTTTCATTTTGCTACTGTTAAGAATTGGGCGACCCCTGTGACAGGGTCATTCGACCCCCAAAGTGGTCACGACCCACAGGTTGAGAACTGCTGTTTTAAAGGAAGGTGCATTTTAGATGGATGATTCCCTTAACTGTTACCCTGAGATAATCTTTAAACTAAACCAGAAACATGCCCTGAAGTCTTCTGAAAACCAAACCATAGTTGCGTTTAACTAGAAAGAGACATCGTCCAAAGGAAGGAACCATGGAAGGTGGGTCAACCCCTTAACAATTACCCTGAGATAATCTTTAAACCTTAAAGCAGAAATATCCCCGCAAGTCCATTAAAACCCAAGCAATAGTCTAGCTTAACTAGTTAAAGATGTCTGCCTTCAACATTATACTCTTTAAGACCTATTTATCTGGGATCAAAATGACCAAAGTAGCTTGAAAGATCAGATGGGAACCTCAGAGGGCAGTGCATCGATGTTAATGGTAGAAGAACAACTCAGAAAAGGAAGGTGAGAATGATAATGTATTCAGTGGGTTAACATTCAACTGCTAACCAAAAAGTTGGTGGGTCAAACCCACCCGTCGCTCAAAGAGGAAAAGCTGAGGCTACCTGCTCCTGTAGTCGGAGTTGACTCATTGCTAGGGGAAAGGAGCTGCTCATTAAATGGTACACGGAGAGACTATTGATTTGGTGCATGTTTTGCTCTGTACCGTATGTACTCGTATATAAGCCGAGTTTTTCAGCACATTTTAAATGCAGTTTTTCTGGTAAAATAGGCGCCTCAGCTGATATTCGGGTTGGCTTATACTCGAGTATATATGGTATATTCTGAACAACAAAATAATTGAAAAAAGAGTGGCCATGCTACTATTACAGAAACTTGACAGCAGGAACAAAATTGAACCTACATAAAAAAAAACCGTAACCTAACCTAGATATATTAAAGGAATTCCATGATCACATTTTTCTCTGTCATCGGCTACAAAAATTCCGTGTTTGTTCTATAATACTTTAGGCTTTTAGGAGAATATACTATTTGTAGTCAGAGTATCAGTAATAATACTATGTAACTTTGGTATTTCCTGTGTTCAAGACTCTAAGTCAGTACTTTATCTACAGGAAATCATTAAACTTGGCAACATGTTGGCGTTTGTGGTTCATGCTAATAGCAAGGGTTGAAGCCTAAACAGAAAGCATACTTGTTCTCCTTCTTGCTAGCAGAAATTTATCATCAGAGGCCTTCATTTCTACCTTCTTTTTCTGTTGTTTTTTTTTCATTTCTACCTTCTTGCAAACAATGATCATCTCTGTCATTTCTCGTGAAGGAAGTATGTGTGTGTTTACATGTTATGGCACTTGAGAGGAATAAATAGCACAGAGTTTTTGAGGTTTTAGTCATTAGGAGAGGGGATGTTGAGAACCCCCAGTGTAAATGCAGCTTCTCGAACTAGGATTTTTTAGATAAGTGTATTAAAAAAAATTTCTGCTCTGAAATCAGATTGCTTTATCAAGAAATAGAGAAGCATCAACATTTGATTTAAGTATAAAAACATAGGTAGGTTTAGTTGCTCATTTCATATCTGAACTTGACAGCTTGCATCTAACAGCCCTTTTCTATACAGGGTATATGTTGAGTAGTTATGGATTACTTTAGGCAATTATATTTGAGTAACATGTACAAAACTCTCCTCCAACACCAGCATTCAGATCACCTCAGTGTTACAGTACAAATACACCCAGTGAGTTATTAAAAAATCTCCTTCAGCTTGGTCTCTTCAATGTGGTATAAGGAGGCCTCCCCAAACACATGACAGTCAGTATAAACCAAACCAAACTCAACTGCCATCGAGTGGATGCTGACTCCTAACAACCCTATAGGACAGGATGGAACTGCCACCGTGAGTTTCAAAGACTAACTCTTAGGGGAGTAGAAAGGTTTCTCCTGCAGCGTGGCTGGCAGTTTTGAACTGTAGAGCTTGTGGATCACAGCCCAATGCATCATTCCCTTTGAGTGGCGTCTTTCTAGCTATAGCTAGGATCCTAAAAGGAACATGGTTTCTCCTGAATTTCATGGGGAAATGTTTTGGGATTTAATAACTGCAGTATTTAACTTGCATGGCAAATCATTTAAAAAATGTGTTCTAAAAGAGTGACATTTTAACCCTCCTACAAACACTTTGAAAAGTCAAGAAAATAAAACCAAAACCCATTGCCATTGAATTTATGCCATCACATATAGTCCTTATAGGGCTTTAGAGCTGCCCCTGTGGGGTTCTGAGACTGAATATCTTTTTGAGGGCAGAAAACTTCATCTTTATCACAAGGAGCAGCTGGTGGGTTTGAACCCTCGGCCCTGTGGTTACAGGCAAATATGTAACCTGATACACCACCAGGGTGTCTTTGGAGTCAAGGGACAACTGCAAAGTCACCAGAGTTCATTGGGGGCTCATAGCCCCTTCACCCTGGGTATGAAAGATGCCATAGAGGATTATTTATAGACTGAGTGTCTTACATGCAGGACGCTGTACAAAGAAGGCCTGTGTACTTACCATGCTCCTCCACCCTCCGGTTTAGTGTTAAGATAGAAATATCAACTTAAAAAAAAATCCTTGAATGCCATGCTATAGCTTTTGAACTTGATTCTGTTGGCAATAGAGTATGGCGGGTGGTGCGTACAAAGTGGGTGCTGTGGGTGAATAGGGGAGAGGAGAGGCGTCACTCTGGCTGGAAGAGAGTTATGCAGGTTTAATGGAAGGGATGACATTGGAGGTGGACGATCAAGTATGGGTAAGATTCTACATGTGAAGATAGGAGAAGTAGCAAAGCATAGGCTATCCTGGAGGACAGGGATACAGTCCTGGGCAGTCTGGAGAAAGGGGCATATATGGCATGGGTAGTTGGGAAAGATGTTGTTGGAGCCAATTGTGGAGAACCTGGAATGCCAAGCTGAGACCTACCTTAAGCAGAGGAGAGACATGATAAGGTAGACAAACCCTCCTTTATGCTTCCTCCTGAAATTTCTTTCCAGTCCTTTCTGTTTTCATTCTTTGGTCCTGGCTGTGGATCATGCTGCCCTTTGCCTGAACTATTCAAAGTAGCCATCCAACTTGTCTCTACTTTTCCTCTCCCCCAGCCTTATTCTGCAGCAGCAGAGTATTCCTGCAGTGCAGTGATTTCTGGGACACACACACACACACACACCCAAGAGCACACATACTCATTGCCATTGAGTTGATGCTGACACAAGCCTATAGGACAGGGTAGAACTGCCTTGTGCATTTCTGAGACTAACTGTTTACAGGAGTAGAAAGCCTTGTCTTTCTCCCAAGGAGTGGCTGGTGGTTTCAAACTGCCAACCTTGTGGATTGCAGCCCAACACGTAACCACTATGCCACCAGGTTGCCCACAGGTAACATCAAAACTCCACCCCAGCCTTATAAGTGGATCCTGGATTTCCAGCCTTTTTCCCTTCTGCTTCTATCCTCACGAGTCTTTGGCCACCCTCCCACCTTCCCCTGTACACACTCTGTGAGGCAGAAGGACATAGCGATCTTGAGCTCTAATCCCAGCTCACCAATGACGCTACTCACTGAAATATAGATCTTAGAAACCCTGGTGGCTTAGTGGGTCTCATTTTGGGCTGCCAACCACAAGATCAGCAATGTGAAACAACCAGTCACTCTGAGAGGAAGCCGGGGCTGTATATTCCCAGAAGGATTTACAGCCTTGAAAACCCACAGTTCTACTGTGCCCTGTAGGGTCACTGTGAGTCAGATTTGACTCCATGACAATGCATTTGTTTGTTTAGGTGAGTACCCATCCTTAGGGGGCGCTTCTTAAACCCAGTGCTTTCATTGTCCTATCTCAACATGGAACCAAAGCAGCCCCTTCTGCATATGGGTGTTCCTTTGGTGAGCACCCTGAGGTAAAGTGTAAAGAATCGTTCTTGGCACATGGCAAATTTTCAATAAATGGCTACCGTCCTTGTGGGTCTGGTTCTTACGGCCCTTTTCTGCCTCTGCTGATACTGCTGCCTTCTGGAAAGCCCCCTTTCCACTTGTGCCCTGAGTTCTGTCCAACTCAAATGTCTCACCTCTTAGAGCTCACACAACGTTTGTTCCTCAGCCTAATCTCTCCTGCTCATTTCCACAATGCGTCCTGGCTTTCTCTGTGGCACTTTGGTTATGTGTTTGTTTTATCCTCCCTGGCAGGTCACAGACATGGTGAGGGTGGGATTCAAGTCCGATTCATTTTGCTAGTTCCTTCCAGCACTGAAACATGTTACCTTGAACATAGTAAGGGCTCAAATAATTAGAATGATGAAGATTTCTGATGGTAAAGTGGTCCATGTGTTCAGCCGCTAACCAAAAGGTTGGCGGTTTGAATCCACCAGCTGCTCAACAGGAGCAAGATATGACAGTCTGCTTCCAAAAAGGTCACACAGCCTTGGAACCAATTAGGGTAGTTCTCTGTCCAGTAGTGTCACTGTGAATCAGAATTGACTCGGTGGCAGTGGTTTTGTTGTTGTGGTTGTTGATAGGGAGGTGGTTCAGGGAAAACTCATTAAGACAAGGAAAGATGAGCAGTTGGCGAGGCTGGAAGACCATGAGCTCAGTGAAGAGGTGATTATTATTTTTGTTTTGTTTTACAGATCATTTTATTGGGGACTCGTACAACTCTTATTACAATCCATCCATCCATCCATCCATTGTTTCAAGAACATTTGTACATTTGTTGCCACCATCATTTTCAAAACATGTTCTTTTTACTTGAGCCCTTAGTATCAGCTTCTAATTTTTCCCCCTCCCTCCCCCACCTTTCCTCCCTCATGAACCCTTGATAATTTATAAATTATTATTTTGTCATGTCTTACACTGACTGATGTCTCCCTTCACCTACTTTTCTGTTGTCCTCTGGGAAGGGGTTATAGGTAGATCATTGTGATCAGTTCCCCTTATCTCCCCCCACCTTACCCTTACCCTCCTGGTATGGCTACTCTCAATATTGTTCCTGAGGGTTTTAATTGTCCTGGATTCCCTATGTTTCTAGCTCTTATCTGTACCTGTGTACATGCTCTGGTCTAGCCAGATTTGTAAGGTAGAATTGGGGTCATGATAGTGGGGCGGGGATGGGGGAGGAAGCATTAAAGAAATAGAGGACAGTTGTATGTTTCCTTGGTGCTACATTGCACCCTGACTGGCTCGTCTCCTCCCTGCGACCCTTCTGTAAGGGGATGTCCGGTTGCCTATAGATGAGCTTTGGGTCTCCACTCCGCACCATTCACAATGATATGATTTTTTGTTCTGGGTCTTTGAGGCCTGATACCTGATCCTATCAACACCTTGTGATCACACAGTCTGGTGTGTTTCTTCCATGTGGGCTTTGTTGCTTCTCAGCTAGATGGCCTCTTGTTTATCTTCAAGTCTTTAAGACCCCAGACACTGTATCTTTTGATAGCCAGACACCATCAGCTTTCTTTAACACATTTGCTTATGCACCTACTTTGTCCTCAGTGATCATATGAGGAAAGTGAGCATCATGGAATGCCAGGTTATTAGAATGAAGTGTTCTTGAGTTGAGGGAGTACTTAAGTCGAGGCCCAATGTCCATCTGCTACCTTAATACTAAACCAATAAATATATGTACATAGATCTATTTCTCCTTCATCATATATAAATATGTTTACATATGTACATGCCTGTATTTAGACCTCTATAAATGCCCTTTGCCTCCTAGTACTTTTCTCTATTTCCTTTTACTTTCCCCTTGCCCACTATCATGTTCAGCTTTCATATGGGTTTCAGTATTTCCTCTCAGTTACATTGCCCTTGATCAAGGCCTACCAGGCCTCCTACACCCTCCTTGCCACAAATTTTGGATCACTTGTTCCCTTGCCCCTGGGTTTGTTAACATGCACTCCCCACCCCACCTCCGCCCCTCCCGTGTCCCTCCAGAACTGTCACTCCCATTGTTTTCTCCTCCAGATTGTTTATCCGGCCTGTCTTATCTAGATAGACACGCAGACATAATAATATGCACAAAAAACAAGACAGTAAAACAAAGCAACAACAACAAAAACAAAACAATGACAACAAAAAATACCAACGACCAAAAAAAAAAAAGCCTATAAGTAGTTCAAGGTCTGTTTTTTGACCTTTAGGAATGTTTTCCACTTGCGTCTGCTGGGGTACCACACCCTGGCCCCAAAGTCCCTTTTTGGTATTCCCTGGGGACTTCCTTGCTCTGCTCCCTTTGCTGTTCTGTTACATGCCCTTAGTGTTTTGCCTTGGTGTGGTGGGGTCAGATCCGGCACAATTGCCACACTGTGTCTCTAGTGTTGTCCCCATAGGGCTATGGGTCAGTGGGGGGGGGGTGTCGTGTCTCACAGTGGGGCTGACCCTATGGTCCTCTCTTGTGCCTTGGCTGCTCTAAGCAGGAATATTGTCCTCAGGGCTTGGTGGGCCTTCCCCCTTCATTTGCTCCCGTGTGCTCTGATCAGACATGTCCCTCTCCCTGAGCTGTAGTTTCAGTGCTGTCCTCTAAAGTGAATTCTTCTGCGGGGTAGGGGGGTTTACCACACAGTTGGGATTGCGGCAGGCCCCTCAGACCTTGAAGAGGCCATTATGATTCAAGCTGGGAAGCAGCAAGGGCTCAGGGCTAAATAAGTGATAGGAAGAGGGAGTGAATTGCCCAGTAGCCAAGACCCAGAAATATACAGCTGAGCTCCTCGAACCAGAAACTTTAACTGCAGGGGCAATGTCTTACAGTCCTCCTTTTGAGTTTTCCTTTACGTTCTTGCTGTTTATTCTACTGGCCGGGATGTAATCCCTGGTTTCATCTTCTGTGCAATAATAGTTGGTAGCTTGCTTTTTCTGCCTACGATAGTACTTGCACCTGCAGACAGCTGTGCACTATTAACTGGAAACTTTTTTTCAAACAGAAAAACGAAAACCGATTCTATCTGAAGGAAGTGAATGTCAGCCTGATTTTGGGAAACGGCTCTGGTAAGCATTAACCTGAGGGAGAAAAGCATGGGTTAAATGAAGGAGATAGAAACCATAATGCTCCAGTAACCAAATACAGTGAACCCTCGCCACTTCGCGCTTCGACTTCCGCGGCTTCACTCTATCGCGGTTTTTGCATAACAGCACCCACTGCCTACACCCGCTCCTTCAGAGGAAAAAGACGGCGACCCACCTGTAGAAGTACATCCCTTAAGTCATTTCATAGGCTATTGATTACAGTATTTGTAAGAACTATGTATAATAATACTGTATGTGAAATATGTAATACTATAAACTAGATGCCATAAATAATATAATAAATAATAAATGATAATTGTAACGTCCAAAATGTTTTACTGTATTTTCCCTTTTTCGTTTAATAAATTGGGTAATACGAGTGTAATGGTGACTAAAGGGTGTTTTTTCATGTCCTCTATGCTCTAACTACGAAAATATTTGATTTACAAATAAGGAATCCTACTTCATTTATCACGGTAGGGTCTAGAACCGATTAACCGCGATAAACGAGGGTTCACTGTATAACTTTATTTCATGGGACAGATGATTCTATGTAAGAATACCTTAACCAAAATTTCAAAACTAGTATCTGAGAACAAGGGGGCTTGATTTTTTTTGTAGTATCTGATTTTTTCAAAGTCCAAGTATGTGAATCGCCTTGTTATCATAGAGCATTATAAAGTTGATTATGACATGTAATTAGGTTAAACTGCAATCCTTAGCATCTGTTTTCCCTTTGGACCCATTTTAGAGTTTTTCCAGTTTTTAATTTATACTTTCTTTTTGAATGAGGTTTGTCTGCTTTGTTTACTCATTGTTGAGGTTATTTTGGTTTGATCGTTTGTGTGCTTCCTGTTTGTGTTTTGTATTTTCTCTATGAAGCCCAGGATAGGTAGCCCAGGTCTCTGTAGAGACAGTAACTGGGTTGCTAATAGCCTAGGGGCATGGTGAGGGAGGATGGGGGGGGGAGCTAACATTGAGTTAAAGAAGAAAATGTTTGCAAATTGAATATGGTGATGATTGCACAAATCTTAATATTGAACAATTAAATTTTATGCTATGTGCCAATAAAAATATTTTAAAATAAAAGACATCTGCAGAAAGGCCTGGGAATCTAATAAGAGTAAGAATGACTTTTTGTGGCTAAGAGCCTGGGTCTTAAGCTCCCATACCTTATTGTGAAATTGCCAATATTTTGTTAAGGATTGAAGCCTGCCCTCGTTTTGATGCTGCTGGGAAGATGGCGCTACTGACTCGTGGCTCTCTTCTCTCTCACAGTTCTCAGTTTCACAAACAGCAATCTGAGCTACTGGGATGCCCCTCTGGGAAGTTCTTATATGTGCAACAAAGAGCAGACTGTTGCAGTGTCAGGCGCCTTTCAGATAAATACCTTTGATCTCAGGGTTCAGCCATTCAACGTGATGGAAGGAAAATACTCCACAGGTAAGACTTGGGCATGCTGATTAATGATCGCTGTTCGAGGACGGGCTTTTCATTTGAGTCACAGACCCTCAACACTGAGTTCCCGAAGATGAACTCAGCGCTTGAAGGTACTGTCAAGTTCTCACTACCTTGGGCAAATTGTAAGACTCTCTTCCTCAATATCTCCAAACACCACTTAAATTTGGCTCATCATTTTGCTCCAGATAGTTTATTTATTTGATGATGTGAAAAACCACTGGCAACAAAGTTCTTAAAGCTGAAAGCCAGTGAGAGTTTTTAGTGAACTTTGTTTAAAGTCAAGATAGCACCCCCCCCCACCACCACCACCACACACACACAGGTTTTAGTTTGTGGCAAGGAGGGCAGTTGGAAGTAATAGTGATGAACATCTGTATCTGGCTTTCTTCCTTGCCCTCTTCTGGCTGGAAATGGTTTTCACCAAACAAAAGCACTTTGATCCTTTTTTGGTAAGCCTCAGACATCACAAACTAACACCCGCCCCCCTTAGCTAAAATGATCTGGAGGGTTTTAAAAGACATATGCTATTGTGAATGAGGCTGTTTAAAGACCTACTTGGGGCTCATGAGGGGATTTGTGAAAAACAAAAATTATAAAGCCCTTACTAAAGGGCTCATCACAATATTTAAATACGAGGAGAAAGTACTGTTTGGTATTACAAGAGTAGAATTTTCATGAAGACAGAATGTACAGGAAAATTCCTTTATTTACTTGACCTTTTCAAGCACCCACTCAGAATTGGGGGTTTGTGGATCACCACTCTGTTGAACACAGAGGGATTGCAGTCCTCCACATCCTTTCTCAACACCAATGCTATGGTTTGGAAGCAGTGTTTAAAAGTGAGTAGGGTGTGTGGCAACAAGTGAGTACTTGGTTAGTCTAAAATCAATCATTCTTCTGACCAGGGAGGTTTATCACACTATAAAAATATGTTCAAGAATTCCTTTTTTCTCATGTCTCTAAAGGGTCACTTTGAACCTTGCATGGCTCTTTTGGAGTCTTTCTCGAACCTTCCTACCCCGTCCTGCCACACTCACACCCTTCACCTTATTTGGGGTCCAGTTTTGTGTTTAGAAATTCAGATCTTGGCACTATTGATATAAGTTCAGCTCTTTCCCCTGTCAGCCTTAATAGAGGTGAGCTAGGTTTCTTCTTTAATTTGAAATTTTGATGTTCAAACTAACAATTTCACCCAAGGCAGGGTATACAACATTTAGTACTGGTAGTGGATGCATAAGTAATCTGTGGAACAAGACTCTCATCCATAGGCACCTATAAATACAACGCACAGCTAATGCTCAACTGTATAGAGGAAGGAAATGGAATTGTAATAAGGGAAAAGAATGCTGGTTGGGTTTCTCCTGGACCAGCACTCCCTAGGAGTTGAAAACAATGGCTTCTGTAGGCTTGCAGCCCTCACCAGATTGATGAGACAGATAGTGAACAAGATTTTGACTTTTTGTAGCCACTCGGACTGTATACTCTTAAGTCAGGGATCTGTACAGGCAGTAAATGTGGAAGGCTTTGTAGCCAGATGGTCTTTGTCAGAATTATTTAGCTTTACTCCTGTAGCACAAAAACAGCTGTCAGCATAAACGTGGCTGTATTCCAATATGACTTTATTTATGGATGCTGAAGTTAGAATTTCATATACTTTTCTTGCATCAAAAATAATCTTTTGATTTTTTTTATAACTTTAAAAAAATAAACATGTTTAGCTCTTAGGCTGATTTGGTCTATAGACTATAGTTTGCTGTCTGCCCCCTTCCTCTAATGCAGCGGTTCTCAACTTGTGTGTCACGGCCTCTTTGGAGGGGGGTGTCAAATGACCCTTTCACAGGGGTCACCCGATTCATAACAGTAGCAAAATTACAGTTATGAAGTAGCAACAAAAATAATGTTATGGTTGGGGGTGGTCACCACACATGAGGAACTGTATTAAAGGGCCGTGGCATTAAGAAGGTTGAGAACCACTGCTCTAAAGGAAATCCAGGGTCAGCTGTTCTAATCCCAAGATACCTTCCTGATCTGTTCCAGTCTCCCAAAAGACATTACCCTACTTCAGCAAGGCACTTTAAAGAATGGGCTAGATTAGTTCCCTTCATTTCTGATGAAATAATGTTCCCCTTTTGAAAATGATTCACAATATAAATAGATGCACACATATACTTGTATATAATAGAATATCAATGGTATCGCATAGAGGGATATATGCATACATGTTCACATACATGAATGGAAGGAAAAATGTTTAGGATGTTAGCTTTAGAATCATCCATCTTTTTCTATAGCTTTGACATAAAAATAGACCTGTCTTATTTAAGGTTGACTTTTGTAACAGAATTTCTGACATTTGAATCAAGAGCTTTGACTTCGGCCGTTGTTGCTCATACTCATTGTTTGTTACACACTTTTTCTCATCTACAGCCCAGGAGTGTTCGCTGGATGATGACACCATTCTAATACCAATTATAGTTGGTGCTGGTCTTTCAGGCTTGATTATCGTTATAGTGATTGCTTACCTAATTGGCAGAAGAAAAAGTCATGCTGGATATCAGACTCTGTAACACTAATCCATGCTATCATCTGTTAAAAATAATCAAGTACAAGTTCTAACATGAAATCTTAGTCAATTTACTGTATATTTAGTTGTCGTCCTGGTCCTTGAATGGGTGGTACAAGGGATTTCAAATTTGAACAAATAAAAATCTGAAAAAGAAGACGACGACGACGACGAAGAACCTTAGAAACCACAGCTTGGCCATGTGATTTTGGTTTTCCCAACCAAGACATTTAAGCCCTGGTGGTGTAATGATTAAGTTCTTGGCTGCTAACCGAAAAGTGGGCAGTTCGAGCCCACTGGTGACTCTGTGGGAGAAAGATGTGGCAGTTTGCTTTCATAAAGATTACAGCCTTGGAAGCCCAAGGGAGCAGTTCTACTCTGCCAGTTAGGGTCACTCTGAGTCGGCGGCACCACCTCGGCAGCACATGGATGACACTTCTACAGCAAAAGGCATGTGCAACCCCCTTGGGATACCAGGCTTTTGTTTTGAATATGGTTTTGCAGTTGTTTTCACTTTAGATATTCTGGTGAGAGATTTACGATTTAGGAAAAATTATTTCTTCTTCTGCATGTAGTTGAGTTGGGACAACATGTTCCACGTTGAACTTGTACTTGCTCCATTTGCACTTCTTTGTGATTTTGTTTGCAGGTTAACGTAGCTATTTTGGCATTGCTGCCACTTTGACCTATGAGAGAGATGCCAGTAGATCTGAACAGAGCCTAGTATTACGTTCTTAGCAATAAATGCCTTTCTAATGCTTTGAATAATCTGCATTTAATATGCCTATAATGACAAAGGCTACAGAACCCCTTTCAACTTTAGAATACATGTTAATCTTATTTAATACCTTTGAGAAAAACCTAGATATTTCAACCATTCAAATTACAACACACACGACGATTCCAACTGGGCATTTCAACCCACTTTATAGGTACTTTAGAGATAATTGCTAGGCAATGCCAATTTAGGGTTTTAGTCTTTTGTACTATAAATTGGCTTCTACATGCTGAAATGGTTTGCTTTCTCATGTGAACATTAGGTGGTGCATGGTAAGTGGACAGTTGCTACATCTAAAATTAAATGTGATTTTTATGTAGCCTTTCAATACTGTATGTTCGGCATGTAACAGGCCCACGCAAATAATGTACATATGCATATAATGTGCACAGCACACATATGAAACTAACATGAGGGGATTGCACAGTTTGGGAAATGAACTTAACACTCACGGATTATTTGTGTGAAATACAGTTTTTGTGCATGGTAGCAGGTGGTTCCCCACCCCTCTCCTTCTCTTAATTAGACATGCCAAGATCTAAATAAAACAAATGCTCTTAGCACTTAAAAAGTAATTTGCATCTAACCCAAAAGTCTTAGTCTTCTTTTAGTGGTGCCCATTACAAAGCCATTCTTTGTTTCCAGCTTGCGTTGATCACCACAACTTTCACTCATTTGGCTTTCACATTGAAATGGTTTTACGCTAATCCAGACTTACATTGGAATTGTTCATTACCATAGAACCACTATGACACGTACTTTTGAGTGCTCTGGAGAGATGTACCAATGGTCTGTTTACTGGTTATCACCTAATGTCATATGAGACAGAAAACCTTTTCAATTTGATAGTTAACACATCTAGTATTTTTGGCTACTTCTAGGACACTTTTTAGAAACAAATATTATAAAATAATTATTAATATGCTGCCATATATAGAGGATTTTTTTTACAAGATGGGGTTATATGCCTCTCCACTTCCTAGAAATGAGATATCTGAGTTCTGTGATATTACTTATGTTGAATAAACTGGATAGTCTTAGCTATATATATAAACAAGGGTAAGTCAAAAAGTATTGCTTTTAAGGTTCCAGTTCATACATGTATGGGTTTATTCCAGACAAAACTTGTTTTAACATGTCCCTATAAGCAGCGGATGGCTGCAAAGTCCTCTCGGTCTTAATCTTGTTAGGGTGCCTTCAAAAATGTATTTTTTTTGTGCCATAGGAAGAAATTGTTATTGAGGTCAGGGCTAATCAATGTTTAACAAAAGTCAAGTGTACAGCCTCCCACATTGAAAGCTTTGCCCAGAGGTCTTGAGAATGGCGCCTCATGCAAAATAAGTCTGTAGATAGAGAAGCCCTCAAAGGCGAATTTAAGACTGAGAGGTCAGCTCAGAAGTTAAGGTGTATTTTTGAGGGGGGGGGGGCTGGTTTTACTTTTACTCCAAAGGGGTAATCCTGATCGATTTTGTGAAATTGACACGGAGTCATTGTGGAGGCTTACTATGAAGTTTTCAGAAAATCGAAAACCGCATTGGTGGTAGAAAGGCTGGGCAAGTTATGCTGAGCAATTTTTTTCCCCTCGATCACCATGCACCTGCTTATTCTTTGGCGGTAGCAAGGGCTGTCCTAAGAGAATTT